AACTAAAACATAAAGGTCCTTCGCAGGTTCAAACGTACAAGTGTAATGACTGCGATTTTGAAACTAAATACAAGTATACTCTCAAAAGGCACCAACTGAAACATAAAGATCCTTCACAGGTTCAAATGTACAGGTGTAAGGACTGCGATTTCGAAACTAAATACAAGAGTTATATCAAACAGCATCAACTGCAACATAGAGATCCTTCCCAGGTGCAATTGTACGGGTGTAACGACTGCGATTACGAAACTAAATACAAGAGTGATATGAAAAAACACCAACTGAAACATAAAGGTCCTTCCCAGGTTCAAAAGTACAGGTGTAACGGCTGCGATTACGAAACTAAATACAAGTTTGATATGAAAAAACATCAACTGAAACATAAAGATCCTTCGCAGGTTCAAATGTACAAGTGTAATGACTGCGATTTCGAAACTAAATACAAGTATGCTGTTAAAAAGCACCAACTGAAACATAAAGATCCTTCACAGGTTCAAACTGTACAGGTGTAACGATTGCGATTACGAAACTAAATATAAGTATACTGTCAAAATGCACCAACTGAAACATAAACATCCTTTACTGCTTCAAATGTACAGGTGTAACGACTGTGATTACGAAACTGAAAACAAGTATGCTGTCAAAAACCAACAAAAACATAAATATCCTTCACTGCTTCAAATGTACAACTGTAGCAACTGCAATTTTGAAACTAAATACAAAGAGTATATCAAAAAGCATCAGAACCGAGCATAGGGAGTCTTTGAGGACACCTCAGTTGATGCACAAATAAAAGTTTGCAGGTGTGAATTGTCACCCTTTGCATCATGCGCATCATTAAAATGATTCGAATTGCCCATCTCTAGTTACGGTTAGTGAGTAACACGTAATTACAAAATTGCTGTCGCTACAATCAAGCCTAGATATGATCAAGTATTCAAGTTTTAAAGAAGAAGAAGATTTATACGTTCTAACCTGAATAAAAAAAACAAAAGACATTTAAGCTAATGTTTTATTTGTCCACAGAGAAAACTATGCATTTGTCTTTTATTTTTACAATGCATGTATATGGAATTGAAAATGAATTCGTTTTCGAAGGTGCTGAACACGAATCTGGTTATTATTGAGACACATATTTTCATGAATTTCATGTAAAAGAGAATGGATACTTAACATACAACTATTTTTTGGTTCGATCTGTGATAATCCGAAATAGGGTTACTAGGTACAGCAAATATATATAAGGGCAGCAGAAAATTAAAATTTTTCTTCCAAAGAAATAAAAACATTTATTTTATATTAATTTGGTCGACAACTATACAGGGTGTCTCACCACGACCTCCATAGATGGATATATGGGAAACCGCTCGAAGGATTTTTTAAAATTGCGATGGTGATACGGACCGTGGGCCTATCAAGCTAAAATATTTTCAAGGTCATCGTACTTCCGGTTATACCGGAAGCCGGTACTTATTTTAAATGGAACCCCCTGTATATTATTGTATTTTTGGAAAGGGCATATATTTTTAAGTTGAAAACGTATAGCGCACTCCATACTCAGGACTGACCGTTTCCGAGATATTTTGATTTTTAAGCAAAAATTGACAGATGCAGACTGTCAGCAAAATTTAAGGTTTATTTTTTTGTGCAAATTGGACATTTTGTAGAGGAAGATCTAATTTATTGAATTTGACATGAAAATTTTCCAGTTTTTATACAGTGTGGTCAAAAACAATTATCGAATATGAAGTTCAGAAAATGTGGAAAACTCGAAATTTTTAAACGGAAACCCCTAATTTTCTTAACGTATTCGCATTCTGCACTAAAATTAGGTGTAACTTTGTTAAAGTTTCCCTATACCTAAACCCAGTGGTTTTCATTTTATTTACGAACAAACATCTCCCTTTTCTTAAAATGATGTTTCCATTTGTTTCGCACAGTTTAGCTTGGTTGTGACGGGTAAGGAACACAATATGACAACTGTCGCAGGTTTGGTATAATAATAATATTTATTTCAGAGAGCTACACTGTAACAGACCATTGTATCTACACCAAAAATGAAATATTGTCAGTATTGTAAACTAAAGAATACCTAAAAACAAATAATCATTTAAACTATATGGTTCTAATTCTACTAACATTTTTTTAATCACCTTAAATTTATGAAGTCCTTTAATATTTTTTATACTTTCCAGAAGTTTATTATAAAGTTTAATACATATATATTGTGTACTCTTCTCAGTTATAGCTAACCTGTGTATCGGATAAGTAATATGTATACTACGAGTGTTGTACCCATGACCGACATTATGAATCATAAATAGCTCTCTGTTTTTTACTACATATACAAGACATTCATAAACGAAAACTGCAAAAACTGTCAATAACCTTTTTTGTTTAAATAAACCTCTACATGTTTGACTATAATCTAATTTGTACATTATTCGTAAAACTCTTTTTTGTAACACAAATATTTTTTGGATATTGCTACTCCCCCAAAAAATTATTCCTGATCTCATACTTGCTTCAAAATTTGAAAGATATATCATACGTAGTGAGCTTTCATTCAAATACTTGGCAAAGATTCTGAAACTATACATATTTTGTTCAATTTGCTACATAAATTATCAATATCAGTCTAAATATTCACTAATATACAGGGTGATTCAGTCATAATGTCATTAATTTTAACCACATATTCGGAAGGCTTAATAAAGACAGAAAATCAGCAAAAAAAAATGTTTTACTTGACTTAAAAATGAAGGAAATCAACCCATAACTCCCGCTACGAGGGCGGCCCTGGCAGATGCCCGGATGCTCGGAAAATTTTGTAACGTAATGTCACGAACAATTGTCAGCTGAAGCGAACAGCGTTGCCAAGTTCACATCATAATGTGTGGTTCACATTTACTGTTAAACGTATTTAAGTGAATAAATGAGCTTGCTGCATTTTATTATAAATAATTTTAACAATTGTATTAACTTAGTGTAGAATGTTTTAACAAGCCTGACTTCTCGAAGTAAACTTTCGTTAAAAGAACATAAATAAAACAGAGGTAGTTGCCTGTTTGTAGGCACACCGTATTTTATCAAATAAAAAAGTCGGCACACTACTAAATACCCAAATATACAAAATACACTACACACGGTTACAAAACCATTAACAATTTAAAGCGTTTATTCAAATCTACCACCCTCCATATCTCCCGAATTTTTCCCGCAAAGGAGTTAACAACACATTTTCAAAAAGTTCAAGCTTTAGAAGCAGCTGATTTCCCCAATCGTCTTGAATTTTGCAATTGGTTCCTAAGTGCAGCAGAATTTTATTAACAAAGTGCTCTCTACGGATGAATGCTGTTTTATTTGTGCTGGCATTTTAAACAGGTAAAAATATAAGTATTGCTTTATCAAAAACAATAAGTGCCTACCTACCTAGGTTACACCAAAGTTTACATTTATTTTTTGAAGTGAATACAATCAGTTAAAATAGAAATTTAACATTTAATCTGTTTTCTTCAAGTCTTTTTCTTGATGATAAACTTAATAACTCTGCTTGAAGATCGCGTTCAAAGTTTGAGTCTTCAAAATGTGTATTTATTTATTTATTTATTTATTTATTTATTTAGACAATACACTACCCTACAGAAATTCCAATTACAGGGTAGGTAGAAACAGAAAACTACATCAAGTAACAATACACAACATTACATACGTAAACAATTAGACAAAACAGTATATAAATGAAAAAAACAAAAAACAAATATAATTTAGTTTGTAAATGTAACTTTTTTAATTATGGCTATATTACAATTAAAAATGTCAAACTGATTTTGAAACAGATTATATTTATCACACATTTGAAAAAGAGGAGAGTATTTTTGAATATTAATTCTTGACATAGGTAAATAAAACAATGAAGAAAAACGAGATTGTAATCTAGGTATATGAATATTTAACAATGAAAGTAAAGAAGGACAGTCAATTGCATTATGTAATAACTTATATTACAAAATATGTCCAGTTATATGATTAAACAAATCGCGTCTTTTACACCGTTCCACTCATATCTTTCTAAGTTTTTATCCTTAGGAAACACATTAAAAGAAAAAGGTAAAGGTCATGAAGCTTAACAGCAAGTATGCCATGCTTGGCCCTTTTTGCCTGCTAACTTACAATATCCTCTACCTCAACAATCACAAACATCCACGGGTACGACAGGAAAATTCCTTCGAATTTTCCTGTCGCGTGCGGGATTTAATCGAACCCACCACGGTTTTGCCAAACAGCCCTAGGAAAAACATTAAATAAAATTTTTTAATTGTCTTCTTTGAACATGAATCCTAAAGGTTAGCAATCTTGTGACGTAGTATGATATAAGCCACGCCCATAATTTCAGTCTATTACTGGACCGTCTTTTTTACGAACCGTGTGCCCGGCATACAACCGACAATAATTGTGAACGCGCCCCAGCTTTTGACGTTTGGCAACATTGACAATTAAATTAAAAATGGTAAAATAAAATCAAACATATGCGCCCATCAGATGGCCGTCAGTTATCATTTATAAAAAAAACTATCTTGATATTGATATTCTAAAGTTGTGAGCAATTAGGAGTAAACCGGAAAAGTTCTTTAAGTAATCGCCAATCGGTAAAGGCTGGTTGGCCACCCTGCCTACACCGCCACAAGAAGGTTAGAAGTAAGTGACGGGTGATGAGTTTCTGTTATTTTTATACTCGAAAGAAGATTGTTGTAGAGCAATGAGTGATGTTAAGGAAAGTTCGTGTAGACTTTGCATTAAATCTATAATAGATACAAGTTTTGAAGTGGTAGACAACGTTATCAGAGACATTTTGGATGTTCTTTTGCTGAAATTGGTAAGTCGGTGAAATCTAATTAGATTAGATCCTAGCAGTCTCAAATGTAAAGCAGCCTTTAGTATTTAATTGTTATTTTCCACTACACTTATTTTATTTCTGTTTAAACTTGCATATTTTTCAGAAATTTGATAACGAGAACAAAGAGGTTATATGTAGCGTTTGCAGAAGAAAATTATATGCGGCATTAGAATTTAAGTCGGCTTGTCTGAAGACCGATTACACAATTATTCCATATTTGGATTGTGAGAAAATGTTACAGCTCGATATAAGAGATGTGTATACGAAGGAAAAGACAAGCGAGTCAATGGATATTTCAGATAGTCAGAAAATATGTCGATTGTGTATGGAGCCAGTAGATAGTGAGTTTAGGTGTATACGTGAAGAGGAACTTGAAGCTATCGAGAAACTGGCTCCTGAACTGGTATGAACGATATTAAATACTTGCATTTCTCAGAATTTAGAAAACAATACTTTGCAGATTATAAACATCGTCAAAGATCCCGTTATATGTAAGGAATGCTTTGGTTCTGTGTGCACTCACAATAATTTCCTAAAAGATTGCTTAGAAGTGGAAGAAAAAATTAAAAGTATTTTTGATAGTTCAGTCTCACGAAGTCAAATAGATACGTCTCCACTTGATTTACTCGTTAAGACTGAAAACTTGGACAAAGAATTCGATAGTAACAAAATAGAAATGTCAATTAAAGCTGAAAATATCGACATAAAATCGGAAGATGAGGAAAGGAGGTAAGAGAAGACTATTTTAACATTAATTTAAAAAAAAAAGTCCGTGGTCTGATACTTCGCGAATACATGCCATCTGACGATAAACTAACAAATTATAAGATTATGTTAGTAAACAATCTTGAAGAGTTAGGTTAACAAATTATTAGGAAAAAATGTAAGATTGTTATAAAACAATCGGTATGGTTTTAAATCAGATACATAGGCGACCCCTTGGGGGGGGGGAGGGGGGTAGTCCCACCTGCCACTGATTAGATTGATTCAGTGATTTTTATTTACTGTAGGTAGAAGTCGTAATTTTCTTGAAACGAAAACGATATATCTCTCACCGAGTTACAAAACGATTAGTGGTTATGTAAGCGGATTGCAAGAAGAAAATAAATTTTTAAGCTATTTTAAAGCTATCGGCCTAATTCAAATTTGAAAAATATCTTGTAAGAAACCTTATCAAATAAAGTCAGACAAACTCCAGACCAGAAATCTAGATATGCAAAAGGTATCTAAATTCGTAGACTTATTGGCTACATGCCCCAACTGGTATCTAATACGCAACACCAATATCTAGTAACATCTACAGTCGAGCCGTTGGATCTTTACTTTCTGGTCATCAAGCGTAATGGTATGAACTGAGATTTCAAACGAGGTCAAATCAGCAGTTGTGTTCATGAATTACTGTTTATTTAAGAAATAGTGAGGATTCACATTTGTATGCTCACTTAAGCTCTATTTACTGAAATAACGACAGAACTCGTAGAAAATTAGGTCTATCAATAGAGGTTTTGTTTGTGAGAAAAATACTAGTAGCAAACGGACTGTCATCATATGAAAGACAATCTATAGATATACGCTTGTATGTTTCCTACTCCAATTTACAATTAATTTTTTATAAACATTTTTATGCAGAAAACGCATTTTTTTAAAGTTTTTTTGCTTATAAAACATAAACTAACGAAGCAATTCAACATTTGTCTTTTATTGTATTTATGTACGTTGATGACATAAACGTAAAGATCCAACGGCTCGACTGTAGTAATAAATGATTTTCCAAAAGAAAAACTAGAAGTGATATATCCGATTATAATTAATATGAAAATACATACCACGTACAATGAAATTGTGAAATAATGCAATCATTCAAAATACTCTTGTATCTTTTGTTCTTTCATCACTTTTGCCAAAGGTGAACAGTAAAAAAAACAGCTACCGCAGAGTTTTTTTTATTTCCACCTTTTATTTCATTTGGTAAATCTTCTTAAAAACATTTTTGGAGGGCCAACTGCATAAAAATGCAGCACCATATTATACATACATACAACAAGCAATATTAGCGAATAAATATTTTAATTATATTTGGACCTGACTGTACGCACTGACAAGACATTTCTGGATAAAATGGAAAATATCACTTACATAATTGATATAGTAGTAACGTCTTTTAAGGTGAAATGCAGGGTGTTACTATTTACTTAAAATTTAATAAATTCTCTGACTTTTTGTTGATGGAATTATTGTATGACTTTATAGATAGCATCTCGCTAATATCTTTTTTAATAATTAAATTTGTTATAAGAAATTCGGATCGATTCGTCATTAAAATTAAAATTATGTTATTAGTACTATCGTTGAATCAATTATCGTTAAGGATAACATCGTGAAGAGAAATAGGGTAATCGTTATTGAGGAGTATTCTTATTGTGGTATTATTTAATATTTGAATTTTGTTGTGTGTGACAATTCAAAAGACTACTAGAACTAATAGGTTTAAAGTACGATGGTTCTTTTGGTTGTTATGCCGTGACAGATGTACCTGGTCGCTGCCAGCTACACCCCTACCAAAATGTCACAACTGTTTGATCTGAATTTTTTATTAATAAAATGTCAAAATCTAAATTCCTTGTCTTATTCCAGCTTTATACTTTGTTATTACGCTATTTGAATGGCATAAAAATTATATAAATGCCTTGCAGAGTTCATAAACTTATAATAATTGAATGTTTGTTTGTGAAAATGTTTGGATGTTACTATCCTTTTCAATAACACATATTTCAAACAAGTCTAAGGGTGACGACGACAGAAATGACAGCAAGCACTGAATTGTTCTGGTACGGGGGTACAAATGTATAATTAGTTAATAAAAACATCTCATTAACTTCAAATGGAAATATGCCCTTTTATTAGTCATTTTTTGTAAATTGCGACATTTTGGCATGTGTATACAGGGTGTACCATTTAACACTCCCGCTGCCAATATCTTCGAAATGAAGAAAATTATTTTAGTTCCGGAAATTGGGGTTGTTAGGTCCCTCGAATAGCTTCAAATTATAGTTATAACTGCTAGTTCAAATCTTTCTGTATAGATGGCGAGGCGATACTAAAAAATGTTTTGATCCCTGGAACATGGAAATGAGGCCCATCTGAAAGATCGTTAAATTTTGAGTAATTTTTGTAATATAAAGTTTTTCCCTATATTTACTTGTTTTCGAGATATGTCGACTTCAATATGTAATGTATGATATTACAGGAAAATCTATTATTTTATCTAAACACACCGACATAAAATATTCTTTTAAAATATTGTTATAATGACTTTATTCACACCACATAGTAACTAACAAACAATAAATTATAAAAAAACAAATGATCAACTACAGAAAAAAAATTGTATAATGGTAAAAACCGTATAACTAGTATAGTTAAATTGAAAGACGCAAACCGATAAAACTGTAATTATTGGAAAACTAATATGTGTCATTGTTTTATTTTAAACAAATGACATGAGCCACCTATAACTGCATTTTTTAATAACATTTGATAAAATACGGTGCGTCTCTGCCCCTTACAAGATTTACCATTCTAAAGGGTGGTCCAACCAAAACGCACAATGTTAATTGTAAATAAAACAAAAAGTTTTTTATTATGGTAAAAGGATCTATGACAATTATGTGTGAAACAAAATATCGGCCAAATGCTCGTCACGGCTTCGGTGGCATACATCTATCCGATGGTCCGTATTTTCAATGACTGAGACATAATTGAGGTTCAGTGTCGTTAATGTGCCGAATTATCTTATCCTTTAGCTCTTGAATTGGTCTTGGCTTATTGACGTACACTTTTTCTTTTAAATATCCCAAAGAAAGAAGTCCAACGGTGTCAAATCACATGATCGTGGCGGCCAATTAACATCGCCACAACGTGAGATAACACGGCCATTGAATTGCTCGCGCAAAAGAGCCATTGTTTCGTTGGCTGTGTGGCAAGTGGCACCATCCTGTTGGAACCACATATCGTCCAGGTCCATATCCGCAATTTCTGGCCACAAGAAGTCCGTTATCATCTCGCGATAGCGAACACCATTCGCGGTAACTGCTTGGCCGACCTCATTTTCGAAGAAGTACGGCCCGATGACGCCGCCAGCCCATAAACCGCAACAAACAGTCACTCTTTGTGGATGCATCGACTTTTCAACAATCGCTCGTGGATTCTCATTTGCCCAAATGCGGCAGTTCTGCTTGTTAACGAATCAACTGAGGTGAAAGTGTGCCTCGTCGCTGAAGATGATTTTCTTTGTAAAGTCACCATTCACTTCTGTTTGTTCGACCAGCCGTTCGGCGTATTGATGACGCTTGAAATGGTCAGTAGGCTTCAGCTCTTGAGTCAATTGAACCTTGTAAGCGTGTAAATTCAAATCTTTATTCAAAATTCGCGTCAGTGATGTTCGTGAGATGTTCAATTGTTGGGCATGACGACGAGTCGAGGTTGACGGCTCTTCTGCCACACTATCTCGAACAACAGCAATGTTTTCCGCAGAACGAACTGGGCGAGCATGCACAGGTGTTTTCACAATTTTTTTATATAATTTATTATTAGTATGCGATGTGAATAAAGCCATATAACAATATTTTAAAAGAATATTTTGTCTCGGTGTAATTAAAATAAAATAATAGGTTTTCCTGTAATATCATACAATGCATATTGAAGTCGACATGTCTCGAAAACAAGTAAATATTGGGAAAAACTTTACATTACAAAAATTACTCAAAATTTAACGATATTTTAGATGGGCTACGCCACGTTCCAGGGAACAAAAAATTTTTTGGTATCGCCATGCCATCCATAGAGAAAGATTTGAACTAACAATTCTGACTACAATTTAAAGCTATTCGAGAGACCTAACAACCCCAATTTCCGAAACAAAAATAAATTTCTTCATTTAGGAGATATTGGCAGCGGGAGTGTTAAATGTTCAATTTTTTCAGCGACACGCCACTGCAGTGCTCCGATAAGATGCCATTCGAGGAGAGTGTCTGTAAAAATGAAGAAGAGGTTGGATATAAACAGCAGAATGGATCAGAAATGAAAACCAAGCAGGAGCGCAAAGTATTATACAAATGTGATAAATGCATTTACGAAACTGGAAGTGAGATCCCTTTTACCGCACACTTTGTGAGACACGAGAACGATTCGGAAGTGTATAAATGTGAATCGTGTGAGTATAAAACTGAAAATGAGAAATCACTTCAGAGGCACCTGTCGAGGCATAAAGATCCTTTGCAGATTCAAATGTACAAGTGCAAAGACTGCGATTTCGAAACTAAATACAAAAGTAATGTGAAAAATCACCAACTCAAACATAAAGATCCTTCGCAGGTTCAAATGTATAGGTGTAATGACTGCGGTTACAAAACTATAAACAAGAGTCATATCAAACGGCACCAACTGAAACATAAAGATCCTTCGCAGGTTCAAACGTATAGGTGTAATGACTGCGATTACGAAACTATAAACAAGAGTCATATCAAACGGCACCAACTGAAGCATAAAGATCCTTCCCAGGTGCAATTGTACAGGTGTAACGACTGCGATTACGAAACTAAATACAAGGATGATATGAAAAAACACCAACTGAAACACAAAGATCCTTCGCAGGTTCAAATCTACAGGTGTACCGACTGCAGTTACGAAACTAAATACAGCAGAAATATAAAAAGACACCAACTGAAGCATAAAGATGCTTCCCAGGTTCAAATGTACAGGTGTAACGACTGCAGTTACGAAACTAAATGCAGCAAAGATATGAAAGGACACCAACTAAAGCATAAAGATCCTTCGCAGGTTCAAACGTACAGGTGTAATGACTGCGATTTCGAAACTAAATACAAAAATAATATTAAAAAGCACCAACTGAAACATAAAGGTCCTTCGCAGCTTCAAATGTTCAAGTGTAACGACTGCGATTTTGAAACTAAATACAAGAGTGTTATTAATAAGCATCAACTGCAGCATAGAGATCCTTCCCAGGTGCAATTGTACGGGTGTAACGACTGCGATTACGAAACTAAATACAAGGGTGATATGAAAAAACACCAACTGAAACACAACGATCCTTCGCAGGTGCAAATGTACAGGTGTAAAAACTGCAATTATGAAACTAAATACAAAAATAATATTAAAAAGCACCAACTGAAACATAAAGATCCTTCGCAGGTTCAAATGTACAGGTGTAACGACTGCGATTACGAAACTAAATACAAAAATAATGTGAAAAATCACCAACTGAAACATAAAGTTCCTTCGCAGGTTTAAATGTACAAGTGTAATGACTGCGATTACGAAACTAAATACAAGTGTCATATGAAAAATCACCGACTGAAACACAAAGAACCTTCGCAGGTTCAAATGTACACGTGTAAAGACTGCTAGTACGAAACTAAATACAAGGACTATATGAAACGGCATCAACTGAAACATAAAGATTCTTCGCAGGTTCAAATGTACAGGTGTAAAGACCGTGGTCATGTTAGCAATAGGCCGGCCAACAATAAAAAAGGGGCGCGCAGCAGTGGCACCCATGCTGCGCGCCCCAACAGTGTCGAGGCAATTTAGGTATGTCATAATATAAAACTGAAACAATATTTTTACCAATACTTCGTGGGTAATTATATATCACTCTTCATAAAACTACGGTTAATACTACTAGAAGCATCTGCAGAAGAATGAAGTAAGAAAAGACATTGTAATATTTACACACTACATAAACGTATTCTGTTTTAAAAATTAATAAACAAGCTCTATTTTACAAAAAATATTAACTGTCTTACATTTTTTCGATGGTTTTAATAAAATTAGGCCCCGAATTTACAAAAAAAATGAATAGATACAAAATGGTGTAACTAGACAAAAATATATTTCGGAGCTCGGGTTAGCGGCTCTGGACCTACAATTCGATGGCATTTTCTGAAAATGGAACTATTCTTAGTTTCTAAGTGATGAAAAAAATTCAAAAAAATTGCACAGACGAAATATTTATAATAAATATGTTATAACACTTCCCAAAGTGTGCTTTTCCAAGCACTTAAATCCGTTTTTCTTGGAAATTGAGGATTTTATCGAAAGAAATAAAGAATACCTTTTTTGTAGATGAAATGAAGGTCTATCATATGTTGGCCTCAGAATTTGAAAATTTCGACAAGCAAAAAAATTGGGGCAAATTTTAAGTGGCGCCCCCCCAATTGAGACGCCCCAGATCATTTTTGAAAGCGTTTGAACGTTCGCGGTGTCAAAATTCATAATTTTCCTTCAACCCATTTCGGAGATATTAAAAAAAATAAATTTTTTGAGGCTCCATTTAGGGAGGCGTAGCTCCCTTAGGAAGCATTTCTCGACCAGTGTTTATATGATAAAATATTTTTATCCCCATTTAGGGAGGCCAGTGTTTATATGATAAGAATGTTGAAAAATATCAGTTTCGTTGGACTTATTGTCAAATAGTTCTTAATCACAGACCACCTAGACTGGCTTATAGAGCGACTTTGGTGAAAACACTTTGGAGCCTGATTTGGAGACCAGCGCTCAGTCGTGTCCTAGCATTTGACGTCTACGCATCGCTGTGATTTCGATAATTAGACGTTTTGTCATGGGCAAGTGTATTGTAAAACTTTGTATAAATACAAGTGATCGAGTTGGTGAAGAGAAGCGAAAAGTTTCCTTCTTTAGGTAAGTAAAAAAAAGGAATATATAAAAGGTAAATATGTACGCCATTTTTCGGTTGACGTCACAAGTTTCCAGGGTTAGCTTTATAATTTTGTTCGCCCACATAGTGTAGTGATTAACGTGATATTGTTATTATAAAATAATGAATGAATTACTGTAAAATATTTTTAGTAATTATTTACTTTATG